TTTTAAAATGCAGTTGTGTGTTACACCATAAGAAGTTTAATTAAAATACTAAAGTGTTGGTACCTTTATTCCGTAGTCTGTTATCTTGATGTTGATACTATTTGGTGTTTTGGCTTGAACTCTTCCACATCCTCTAAATTATAGTTGTGCCCAAATTTTGCATTTGGATGCCTAAGATGGTACACTATACAGTGACTTTAGGGAAAGAACAAGATACTTGTCCTATATTTTTGGCATGCCAGTAATACCATTCCATGTCTTGAACTCAGATCTTTCTTTTTTTTCAAGTTTGGTCTGATATATCCTGCCTATGTCCAATAGAGTGAGTTAACAGCAACAGATTTAATTAGATTGATACCTATATGTTTCCATATGAAGCTGTTTTCTATTCCATTATCAGCTTTGTATCACTGAGATATATGGAAACCGAAACAGAGTTACCAAACATGTGGCTGATAGTTGGAAACACCAGCAACTCTCGATTACCAGGGATACTGTGAGCATTTCCTTCAATTCATTTGGCAACTTAGTGTGCCCTGGAGAGTGGGGTCAGAATATAAGAGGGAAGAAAAGATCATAGGGAGTGGAATTAATCAGGCAAGACTTCCTGTGGGAGCTGGTACTTGAGCTGAATCTTGCTGGAAGTGAAAGATCTTATTTGATGGGGAAGACAGGTTACCCTCAGTGATAAGCACCAAGAGGAAACAAGAGCTGGGAGCAGTGAAGGTGGGACAGCAGTTGTAAGAGCTGCTGAAATCAGAGCCTTTTTTCCTCCTCTTTGATTCCTTTTTATTATGATGAGAGAAATCCCAGACACCAAAAGACAGAAACCGGTTGATCAGGGTGTTTCCTGGTTTTATTAGTGATGCTTCCAGCTCATTATCCAAAGTGAGGCTTTTCTATGCTGGAATGGCTCCCTTAGCAACAGAACTGGAAAACAAGGTTTGCCTTCCTTGGAACAAAGCCTCTGCAGACTATTGGGTGACTGTCCATCAGATGGTAGTATTTTGACCCTTCTTTTGTGGATTCTCCTATATAGGATGGGAATTAAAGGTCCTAGTGGCTACCAGCCATACTTTCATTACTCTATCTGGGATATTGGGCTAGCTTTCCCTGAGAATATTAGAAATCATGACACATGGATATTTTTAAATAATTTAGAGTAAGTGAATACAATTTCTAAACAACAGAGACTTTAAATATGAGGTTTGCAGACACTGCATGAAAATAGATAAGCTGAAAGTAGAAAACACAAAAGCTATTTTTTTTTGTTGAGTACTCAGTTCCTCGTATCCTTGTTTAAGAAGAGACAAGAGTTGTAAACCATGAATCTCTTCTGCTTCTCATGAAATGCAAATCATTGCATGTTATGCAATGTCAGATGTTAGGCCCTATGAAAGGCATTCTCCAGAGAGTTGTCCAAAGTTGGAGGCTTCTGGAGGGACTGAAATGCCTAGCTGGGGGGCTATGGGTTTGATCTAGTAAAGAGTCCTCAAAGAATCTCAGCAAGAGAACGGATACTCCTAAAACCGTGTCTTAAAAAGAGATTCTACTGTCTTTGTCCAGCAGTGTGCATGTGACACAAGTAAAGCTCACCCAGCCTTAGAAAACAGTGAAGTAAGGAAAATCTTGTTCATCAGGAAAGGATCCATATCTTTGTATTAAAAGTCATTATTTCTCTACTTAGTAAACTCTCCCAGTACCTTTAGAGTACTTAATAACCTGTCAAAATGTTATGTGCACACTTCTCAGGACCATGTATTATATAATTATTTAGGAGGTTCAGTGTGTTTGCAGACTGATTCTGTAGCAGTGCTCATATTCATTGTGATGGTATCTTTTTGAGGCTGGGGGGTAATTTAAAACACATTTTCCCCTTTAAGAAGGTCAAACTATAGGGGAAAATATCTTTGTACCTTTTATAAGCTGCTTATACTCGTAACACAAATTAACTTCCCAGCACATAAAGGGAATACTAGAAAACCCTTGCATGATTAAATATGCCCCTGGAGGATTAAGTTTTTCCACATATTTTTGAAGCCAGAGCTATGAATAGTGTTTCAGCATTAAACTTTCTGTACGTCTTGATTATGGGGGGAGGCTTTTACTCCTACTGCTCTTGCTGTTAGTTTTTCTGCTATTCAGATTTGTAGCACTGCAGAATTATCTGTGGAAACATGGACTTGAAATCTGAAAGATTAATTAAGGTCCAACAAAGTGTCATCTCTGGAATTCTAATTTTTAAAAAATGTTTAATCCATTTTTTCAAACCTGTTTCTTCTTTCACCTTATTGAAAACGTGGCACAAACTAGCTAATTAGTGAGCTTAATGGTTCAGAAATAAGGGATCACCAAGCACATAGTATTTAACATTTTGAAAAAGATCATTAATTTTCATGCATATTTTTCCTAAGATAAAATTCTTGTTTGTAAGGAATCTCTTTATTACTGGGATTCAGTTACTAAGTGCCTTTTTATCCAGGCATTGGGTTGTCAGATTAATTTACTGGGGCTCATCAGCCAAAGGCTTTGCTGTGTGACCTTGAGGCATACTGATCACCCTTTGCTCCTCCATGATCCCCCGTGTATCTCTTCCCTCCAGTCTGCAGGTCTTACCTTACCTCCATTGGCTCCCTTCACTGGTACTCAGCAGCCCCTTGATTTCTTTGACCTCCCTGTTGCCTTTATCCTGTCAGTGCCCACGCTTACATGGTCCTTTTTTCCACTTTTCTCCCAAAATGTATATTATCTGTCCTGAGCAGGGGCCTCCACTTCCTTTCTCACATTCCCCACACAGCTGTCCCAGACCATTACTGCCATGGTCTACCCATCCCCTTCTCTGGCAGCAGATGACCTTGCTGCCTGCTGTCAGACCCCAGAACTTCTCAGCCCCCAGTTCCCTGCTCTCCTAACATCACAACTGCTGTTTTGTTTCCCATGGCTGAAGGGGAGGGCTGCCCCCCACCTCAGCTCTAGCTTCATCAGGGCTTTAGGACTCTTTTTCCTCCTCCTCTGCTGGGACGTTTCTCCAGCACTAAAGGGAAAAAAGAGAGACTTTAATATTATTTAAATAAGTAATATATGCACACGGTTTTAAAAATTAAGGTAGTATAGAAGAATTTGCAGAGCCAACTACTTGATGCCAGTCGTGTGTATGCATACTTCCAGAGATCTTATTATATGCAGGAACAAGCATACACACAGCTGCATTTCCCTTTCTTTTTCTTTACTCCTCCATCTTTATTTTTAAGAGATTACTACCAAACACATGGTCTGGACATTGCTTTTAATATACCTGTATGTCTTGGAAACAAGTTTATATAAATACTGTAGAGCTACCTCATTCTTTTAACAGATCTAAATTGTTCCCTTAATTGTAAATACACCATAATTTTGTCAACCAGCTCCCTGTTAAAGAGTAGTAGCTTCTAATCTTTTGTTGCTGCAAAGAGTGTTTCAGTGAGCATCGTTACATGTCAACTTCTTTTACCCATGGACAACTGTATCCGTATGAAGAGTCTTTGAAGTGGAATTATTGCATCAAAGTGTTTATACATTCTCATCACTTTTATGGAGAAGTTTTAAAGATTGTTTTCTTGTGTTACTGCTTCTCCAGCCTTTCTATTCATGTGTAATTGATTTCTTTGATTTATCTTCAATGTCTGCTTTTTGAGACATTCATCTATTTCTTCTGAGTTCTGAGAGAATTTTTGAGATACTCTGGTTTACTGTTTCCTAACACTCACAATTCCTGTGATCTTTGAATTTTTGATTACAATAATCATTATTTTCTTTGCTTCTGAGAACTCAGACATTCTTGTATTGTTCTCCTGTCAAGACGCAGGCTTTAAATCTTTTACCAGGGGATAACATATATACAAAAAAGTGCTTGATGACTTTTCACAAAGTATACCAACACCCAGATAAAGAAACAAATGTTATCAGTATCCAGAACCTCCCTTGTGCCCCTTCCAGTTACAGTCCGTCCATGGGTAACCTCTTGCCTAACTTAGATTCATTTTGCCTGTTCTTTTTTTAAATTTTGTATATAAAAATGTAATTGTGCATTAAATATTGCTTCTCTATCGTTTAACATTATGTTTATGAGAATTATCTATATTGTTGCAAGTAGATATAATTTGTTTTCATTGCTAAGTAGTATTCTATTGCATTAATATACCCATTTGTTCATTCATTCTACTATTGATGCACGCTTGAGTAGTATCTAGTTTGGACTACCGTGAATAGTGCTGCTGTGGACACTTTGTTTGGGTCTTCTGATACATAACCACATACCTTTTTTTTGCAGGGTATATATACCTAGGAGTATAACTGCTTGATCACAGGGCATATAAGTCTTAAGCCTCAAAAATGGCTTTCTCATTTTGTACTCCCATGAGAATCCCAGTTCTACATTCTTGCCAGTACTTGAAATCTTCTTTTTTACTTTAGCCATTTTGGTGTTTATAAAGTAAGATTTCATTATGGTTTTAGTTTACACTTCCCTAATCACTTGTAATGTTGATCAGCTTTTCATATGTTTATTGGCCATTTGGATATCCTCTTTTGTGACATGCCTAGTGAAATTTATTTTTACAAAAATGTATGCCTAGCCAGTAGATCACATTTCCCATCTATTTGTCTGTTTGTCTTTATCCTTTTAAATTTTTTTCTTAGCTTTTTTCTGGCCCATTTTTTCCCCCTAATAGGTGAACTTTAGAAGTAGGAAACCCAGCTTTTACAGAATTTTTAGTGAATTTGCATAAAACTTATTTGACAAAAATTGTCATGTGAATTGGAAAAGGATATTGTCATTGTTTCTGAGAAGGGAAAGTGATAAATACTAAGCCCTCCCAGTTTTTGCCCTCCAGATTGCATTATTATCCCCATGTTTAATTCTAGTTTTAGTTTCATTTTTGACAAGTGCTTATGGAAGTGAAAATCTTGTAATATACTTTTAAAGCCTGCAGCCCCTTTTAACAAATATAAATGTTTTACAGGTTCTTGATCAATATGAACGAGAAGGATTTAATTTCCTAGCAAAGGTGTTTAATTCTTCACATTCCTTCTTAGAAGACTTGACAGGCCTCACTTTGCTGCACCAAGAGACCCAAGCTGCTGAGGTAAGAATAAAACAAGCTTTTTGTACCGAGGACTGGTGTGTTTGAAACCTACTTGATGCTCAGATTTATGGCATAGTAAGGAAGCGGTGAATTATGATTTGACAAACATTGCTAAAAAAGTCTGCTAATTATCAGAGAAGAAGGAACCTTCTGCAGTCACTGTATGTTGATGTGTGCAGATTGTTGTGTAGCATGTGCCCAGTGCACATAATTAAAGGGAATATGGGTTACGGATTTTCAAGCACCTCTGGTCTTGTCTGAAGAACAGTATGCCTATGGCCATGGGAGAGTTGTTTCTGATGTCCACACATCAGAATGTCAGATAGGGGAGACTGGGCTTTGGCCATGTTCTTCAGAGGGAATATGCCTGGCTTTTATTTGAAAGGCAGCTATGCTCACCACTATATCACCAACGCTGCACAGGCTTTTATTTGATAATTGGATACATCTTAGGTCACTGAACTCTACAATAAAATGGCTTCCCCAGTCACAACCTGAGAGAGTTATGCTTTACTTGTCAATTAGAATATATTGCAGATCTTAATTTCCATGAAGAAGTTCTTAGGAGAAATGTGGCCTGTCTTATCATTTCCATAAGCTGCATAAAGAAAACCTTGAGTGCCTGTGTCCCACAGGAGTGGAACATTTGCAAAGATGCCGTTAGTCCTATTGTCCTATTTATTGATGACTACACCATTCCTACCCCTGCCTGGGGTTGTATGTCTTTACCACTGGGGCAGGCTCCAGTGGTCATTGAGTAGACATTCAGGCTGGATACTGGACTAGCTGGTGACATACTAAGGCTGCTGTTCAGAAGATTGGAGCTAGTAGCACTGAGTAAAGAAAATCGAACCTACCAGAGTCAAATCCTTTGAAACTTTCAGCAGATTGAGGTAAGAGTTTCAGGCACACCAGAGAGGCAAGATAGTACATCTCTAGTACTACATTTAAAACTGAAATCATGGGGTGCCTGGGTGGGTTAAGCCTCTGCCTTCACCTTTATTTATTTTTTCTTTTCTTTTCTTTTTTTTTTTTTAAAGATTTTATTTATTTATTTGACAGACAGAGATCACAAGTAGGCAGAGAGGCAGGCAGAGAGAGGAGGAGGATGCAGTCTCCCCGCCGAGCAGAGAGCCCGATGCGGGCCTCGATTCCAGGACCCTGAGATCATGACCTGAGCAGAAGGCAGAGGCTTTAACCCACTGAGCCACCCAGGCACCCCCACACATCAAATTTTTGATTAGAGATGGTAGACTGGTTGGCCTGTGAGCCAGATATGGCTTGCAGGTGTGTTTTGTTTGGCCCTCCCCTGTGTTCTAAATTCTGAATAAAGTCAACATTTAAAACTTAATGAGTTTTACATAAAAATCTGAATTTTCCCATTTCTAACTTCTTTGAAAAATCAGATCTGGCAAGCCCAGGCCTGCATTTCTTAATAGTGATGGTTAGCTGGAGCCAGGATGCAAATTTTATAGAAAAATAATGTACTTTATATGAAATTTAAAGGTATAAAAAATATTCCGCATGTAAGGTAAATCTTCTACACTTGTTCCTTATCACCTGGTTTCCTTTTTAGAGACACACACTTGTTTTTTTGCCCAAAGTTATTTTTTAGGTGATACTCTCCATTTAAAAGAAGCTCTTGAGTTAATGACCCTTGCAGGTGTTAGAATTTGTGATCCTTTTATTAGAGAAGGATCATTTATTTTCTTAGAAAGCTTTATATAGGGCTATGGAGGGCAGGGGGCTACCTGGGTGGCTCAGTGGGTTAAGCAACTGTCTTCGCCTCTGATCATGATCCCAAGGTCCTGGGATCGAGCCCCCCGCATCAGGCTCCCTGCTCAGTGGGGAGCTTGCTTCTCCCTCTGCTGCACTGCCTGCTTGTGCTCTTCCACTCTCTGTCAAATAAGTAAATTTTTAGAATAATAATAATTAAATAAATAGGGCTGTGGTTTTCCTTTTTAGTTTAAAAAAAATTTTTTTTGCTTTTTTTAAAAAATATTTTTATTTATTTATTTGACAGAGAGATAGAGAGCACAAGTAGGCAGAGCGGCAGGGAGAGGGAGAAGTAGGCTCTCTGCTGAGCAGGGAGCCCGTTGTGGGGGTTCGATCCCAGAGCCCTGAGATCACAACCCAAGCTGAAGACAGCTGCTCAATCGACTGAGCCACCCAGACACCCCTTTTTTTGCTTTTTTATTTCATCTTATTTTCCATCATAATAAGTATACTCTTCCTACCTCAACCCCATTTCCCCTATGCCTCCTCTCTGGTAACCATCAGTATTCTATAGTAAAGAGTCTGTTTCTTGGTTTCTCTCTTTTTTTTTTTTCTTTGTTTTTGTTTCATTTCTTAAATTCCACATAAGACTGAAATCATGATATTTACCTTTTTCTGACTTCATGTACCATTATACTCTTTAGCTGTATACATGTTGTTGCAAATGGCAAGATTTCATTCTTTTTTATGGCTGAATCATACTCTACTGTATTATATGCCACATCTTCTTTTCCATTCATCTATCAGTGGATACTCGGGCTGGTTTTGTAGTTTTGTTGTTGTGAATAATGATGCAATAACCAAAAGAGTGCATGTATCCCTTTCAATTAGTGGTTTTATTTTTGGGGAGGGGCTGTAAATACCCAGTAGTGTGATTAATGGATTATAGGGTAGTTCTATTTTTAATTTTTTGAGGAACCTCCATAATGTTTTCCATAGTGGCTGCACCAGTTTGCATTCCCATCAGCAATGCACAAGAGTTCCTTTTTCTCCACATCCTCCCCAACACTTGCTGTTTCTTATGTTTTTTTTTTTTTATTTTAGTCATTCTGACAGATGTGAGGTAATATCTCATAGTGGTTTGATTGGCTTTTCCCTGATGATGAGTGATATTGAGCATCTTTTCATGTGACTGTTGGCCATCTGGATGTCTTCTTTGGAGAAATATCTGTTCGTGTCTTCTGCCCATTTTTAAATTGGATTATTTGTTTTTTGAGTATTAAGTTGTATCAGGTCTTTATACATTTTAGATAGTAACCTTTCACTGGATATGCCATTTGTAAATATCTTCTATTTGTAGATCATTTCCTTAGTTTTGTATATTGTTTCCTTCACTGGGCAGAAGCTTTTTATTTTGACATAGTCCCAATAGTTTATTTTTGCTTTTATTTCCCTTGCCTCAAGAGATATATCTAGAAAAGAATTGCTACTTCCCATGTTGGAGAGATTACTGTCTGTGCTCTCTTGAAGGATTTTTATGATTTCAGGTCTCACTTAGGTCTGTAATCCATTTTGAGTTTATTCTTGTGTATAGTGAAAGAAAATGGTCCAATTCCATTCTTTTTCATGTTGCTGTCCAGTTTTCCCAACACCATTTGTTGAAGAGATTTTTTTTCCATTGTATATTCATTCCTCCTTTGTTGAAGACTAATTGACCATATAGTGGGTTTATTTCTGGGTTTTCTGTTCTATTCCAGTGATCTGTGCATCTGTTTTTATGCTAGTACCATACAGACTTAATTGCTACCAGTTTGTAATGTAACTTGAAGTACGGAATTGTGGTATCTTCAGTTTTACTTTGCTTTTTCAAGGTTGGTTTGGTTATTTTGGGTCTTTTGTGGTTCCAAAAGGATTGTTTGGGTGGCTCACATGGTTAAGCTTCTAACTCTTGATTTTCGCTCAGGTCAAGACTTCAGGGTAATGGGATCAATCCGGGCATTGGACTCTGCACTCAGCACAGAGTTTGCCTGCGATTCTCTCTCCCTCTTCCCCTCCCCCTACTTGCGTGCGCGCTCTCTCTCTCTCTCTTTCTCTAAAATAAATAAATAAAATCTTTTAAAAGAAATTTAGGATTGTTTATTTTAGTTCTGTGAAAAATGCTGTTGGTATTTTGATAGGGATTGCCCTAAATCTGTAAATTGCTTTGGGTAGTATAGACATTTTAATGATATTTGTTCTTCCAACTCATGAGCGTGGAATGTCTTTCCATTTCTTTGCATCATCTTGAATTTCTTTTATACATGCTTTATAGCTTTTTGAGTACAGGTCTTTCACCTCCTTGGTTAAGTTTATTCCTAGATATTTAATTGTTGTTGATGCCATTGTAAATGGGATTGTTTTCTTAATTTCTCTTTCTGCTGTTTCATTATTAGTGTATATGAAGGCAACAGATTTCTGTACATTGATTTTGTATCCTATAGACTTTACTGAATTCATTTATCAGTTCTAGTAGTTTTTTTGAATCTTTTGGGTTTTCTATACAGAGTATCATGTCATCTGCAAATAGAGTTTTACTTCTTCCTCACCAATTTGGATGCCTTTGATTTCTTTATGTTGTCTAATTGCTTTGGCTAGGACTTATAGTACTATATTGAATAAAAGTGGTAAGAGTGGACATCCTTGTCCTGTGACCTTAGGGGAAAAGCTCTTGGTTTTTTACCATTGAGTATGATGTTGGCTGTGAGCTTTTACCATAAGGTCTTTGTTTTGTTGAGATATGTTTCCTCTAGACCTACTCTGTAGAGGGTTTTGTTGTTGTTGTTGTTTTTAATCATAAATGGATGTACTTCATCAAATGCTTTTTTTGCATCTGGTTTTTATCCTTTCTCTTATTGATGTGATGTGTCACATTGTTTTGTGACTGTTGAACTACGCTTGCATCCCAGGAATAAATCCCACTTAGGAATGTTGTATGATTTTTTAAAATATATTGCTGGATTCTGTTTGCTTATATTTTGTTGAGAATTTTGCATCTCTATATGGAGATATAGAGAAATATCTCTATATACATGAGAGATATTTGTCTGTAGTTCCTATTTTTGTGGCGTCTTTATCTTGTTTTGGTATCAGGATGATACTGGCCTCATAGAGTGAATTTTAAAGTTTTACTCCTCTTATATTTTTTAGAATAGTTTGAGAATAAGTATTAATACCTCTTTAAATGTTTGGTAGAATTCACCTATGAAGCTGTCTAGTTCTGGACTTTTGTTTGTTGGGAGGTTTTT